GGGGGGGGGGGGGGGGGGGTCTGAGGGTAGGAACAAACCGGATGTAAGAAAAGGTTCTTAACTGGGGAAAGAACAAGCAGGACGACAACAAGGGCAGCAGGGTGGTGATCGAACCCTCCACCCCCGGCCCCCTCCAGAACATCAGCCACTCCAACCTGGAAATGAGCAGAATGAAAAGCAGAGAGAGAGAGAGAGAGAGCAAAGCAGTGGAGAATAAGGAGAGGGGAAGTCGGTGGAGGAGTCAATGGGTTCTTTGTCAAAGACCTTGTTTATTTTCAGCAGTCCAACGGTCAGGAGACTCAGTCAGAGGAGGTTCTTCACGAAAAGCCTACACACACACACACACACACACACACACTGAGTGTGTGTGTGTGTGTGTTGATGGTCTCTCATCGTCATGCTAACCATGTCCTGAGAGGCTGCTAGCTCCAACGGCACAGTTTTAGTTTAGCGTTTGAAGCGGTATGCTAAGCTGTTAGCTACACTGGCTAATCTACAGTTGGTCTGAGACCACGTGACAAAGACGAGTCCAGAAAGAAAGGACAGAGGACAGAGGACAGAGGACAGAGGACAGGGGTTTCTGTTAATTCTCAGACGTCCTGGACGTCAGTGTCCTGGAGGAGGACAGTGAGGACGCAATATGACAGACTTATAACTCAAAAACTGTTGTTGTGGACCAGTAGTCCAGTACCATGGTCCAGTACCATGGTCCAGTACCATGGTCCAGTACCCTGGTCCAGGATATCCACATGCCCACATGTGGCCCACGGCCTACACACCCTGTCACCCCCGCCCAGCTGGTATTCACACATGAGTAATGGGATTACCACAGTGAGTGGTGATGTGGGGGGGGGGGGGGGGGGTGATGAGGACAAGTGAGACAGAAGAAGGGGAGCGCCCCACAGACTGGTCCACCTGGATGAAGAGGCCGCAGACAGACGTGGGTTAGGGTTGAAGATGCACAACAATCAGACAAACACAAGATGGCGACGTGTTTACGCCAAGTCCCAGTTTAAGAAAACCGTCGTGACGGACTATTTTAGGCCCCAGACGGAGAAACACTCCCTCTGCTGGATTACCATGGCAATGAGGCAGCCATTCAAGAACAGAAGGGGAAAAACAGGCGGCCAGTGGCCGGAAGAACGCACGCTGGTGGGATCTGGAAGGACAGGGGAGGGGCGGGGGGTG